TCCCCCCAAAATTCCTGAGATTCCCCCCAAAATTCCTGAATTCCCCCCAAAATTCCTGAGTTTCCCCCCAAAATTCCTGAGATTCCCTCGGTTTTTCCCCCCAATTCCTGGAATTTCAGCCACTCCTGAGGGTTTTTGTGCCTGGGAGGGGCAGGGAGGGCTCACAGTGGCTGAGAATTCCCAAAATTCCACGGAATCATTGCCGGGATTCCCTGAAATTCCCCAAATTCCCCCAAAAAAAAGGGTGGAACATCCCTGGGAGAAGCTTTTTCCGGGATAATTATTGCCAACAAAGGGTTAATTATCCCAACAAAGGGCGGATTATCGTTATCCCAATTATCCCAATTATCCCAATTATCCCAATTATCCCAGGGATCCCAACCATGATCCCGATTTTCCGGTTCTTTCCCAACCCTCTCATTTCCCTTGGGCCACTCCCCGGAATTCCAGAGGGGCTGGAATTGTTTGGGAATTCTGCTCCCTGATCTGTCCCTAAACTCCCAAATTCTCCTCCAGAATTCCCAAATTCTCTCCCAGAATCTCCAGATTCTCTCCCAAAATTCCCAAATTCCCCTCTGAAATTCCCAAATTCTCTCCCAGAATCTCCAGATTCTCTCCCAGAATTCCCAAATTCCCCTCTGAAATTCCCAAATTCTCTCCCAGAATTCCCAGATTCTCTTCTGGAATTTTCAAATTCTCTGGAATTCTCAAATTCTCTCCCGGAATACCCAAATTCTCCTCCTGAATTCCCAAATTCTCTCCCAGAATTCCCAAATCCTGACCCCAAATCCCAAATTTCTTTTCCTGCAGTTCCTGGGGGGGTTCAGAACCCATCCCAAATCCCAAATCCCAAATCCCAAATCCCGAATTTTTCCCAGACCAGCTGCCTGCAGTCCCTGGGGGGATCAGAGCCCATCCCAAACCCCAATCCCAAATCCCAGATCCCAAATCCCAAATCCCAAATCCCAACCCCAAATCCCAGATCCCAAATCCCGAATCCCGACCCCAAATCCCGATCCCAAATCCCAAATCCCAAATCCCAGATCCCAAATCCCAAATCCCGATCCCAAATCCCAAATCCCAAATCCCAAATCCCAGATCCCAAATCCCAAATCCCGATCCCAAATCCCAAATCCCAAATCCCAAATCCCAAATCCTGAATTTTTCCCCAGACCAGCTGCCTGCAGTCCCTGTGGGGATGGAATCCCTTTGAATCCCGACCGCAAATCCCAAATCCCGAATCCCAAATCCCAAATCCCAAATCCCAAACCCCAAATCCCAAATCCCGAATCCCAAATCCCAGATCCCAAATCCCAAATCCCGAATCCCGAATCCCAAATCCCAAATCCCAAATCCCAAATCCCAAATCCCAATCCCAAATCCCAAATCCCAAATCCCAAATCCCCATCCCAAATCCCAAATCCCAAATCCCAAATCCCAAATCCCCATCCCAAATCCCAAATCCCAAATCCCAAATCCCAAATCCCCGATCCCAAATCCCGTTTTTCCGCAGACCAGCTGCCTGCAGTCCCTGGGGTGGGATCAGAGCCCATCCCAAATCCCAAATCCCAAATCCCAAATCCCAAATCCCAAATCCCGTTTTTCCCCAGACCAGCTGCCTGCAGTCCCTGTGGGGATGGAATCCCTTTGAATCCCCATCCCAA